TCAAAATGCAAACTTCTCCAAGATGAGCAAGTATCCACCCCTGCGCTGACTCTTGGTGGTGATCAGCTAGAAGTCGCTCAGGAACTCAAGTACCAGGGCAACTATGTTAGCGCCCGTGGGTTCGAAGCTATTACGAACCGTATAACAGAACCTCGAGGTGCACTTACCAATCTCCGCCACCTGTGGCGTAGACGCGACATCAGTCTCGCCCTGAAGGGCAGAGTTTATACTGAAGCCGTCCGTTCAACCCTCTTATACGGTTGTGAAATCTGGCTCATCCAGTCGACAGACATAAAGAGGCTAGCCACGTTCGATCATCGCTGCCTCCGCAGCTCAGCTCATGTCTGGTGGGAGCACCGCATGAGCAATGAGCGTGTTCGGGGTCTCGGATTTAGTGTAGGAAGAGCCAATTAACCTCTCAGCGCCGTTATATCATGCACCAGACTCCGATGGCTTGGCCACTTGTTGCGCACGCCAGCACACCGACTCCCGCGACGTGTGTTGTTTGCGCGCCGGCGGTGCGGTTGGAATGGAGGAGGGGAAGCCAAGCGATGACTTGGTCGAGAGAAATGAAAACCCTCACTTCGAAGTTGGCGTCGGTTGGTGCATCCCGACTGCCTGGCTGGGGTCCTAAGGACGACGAACACGTTTGGTTGGACACACTTGCTGATATGGCTAGGAGTTGACACCAATGGCGTTTGTGTTGTGAGTTCCTTTGTCCACCCCCTCCTGCCTAGCCTCCCCGTCCATTCACGATCTCATTCGTTTGGCAAAATATCCCTCTCTTTTTGCAGTAGATTGCCGGCTGTCAGCTCTCCGGCACGTTGTCCATCCGTTACTGGGGTCTCAGCCGGTTTGCCTCTGTTATTTTTCCTGTTTTTTGTTCTGCGGCACAATAGCTGAGGTGTTTTCCACCTGCAGCTAACGTGTATAATAATGATGGTGGTGCGAACACTGTAGATTGTTCCTTTTGTTCTATGTTGGCTTTAAGGAAACTCTCTGGGTGGCCATTCTTCCTCAGCATCAAACAAACGCACTCCAATTCATTCGAAACCATGTCTTCTGACCAGATTCGTTCAGCTCGGCTCACTAGACTATGTATCAGGTTCCATTTAAACCTGAATGGCGTAAAGCTGTAGAAATTTGTGTCCAACCTACATGCATTTCTTATACACGCCACGCTGCCGCGCATCTCCATCAATTTCTTTCATGGCAATGTCTTGGAAATGAAACGGACAATTTCTTCCACTTCGTAAGTACACGCTATTACTTCGTGTCCTTGGTTAAGTGCGTTTGTTAGCTCCTGGATGCTTTGGGAGGTTTGAAGCAGACCAAAGATGTTTGTCCACTTATCGGCAGTATAAACTAAGGCATGGTATTGTTGGCTTTAACTTGTTCAATCATGACTTTTGCTAATTGCACTGTGTTTCAATCTTTAACATCCATATTTCTACTCCAGGCGTCTTAACTTTCCGTTAGATTCTGTCATCCCAATCAATTATCCGAATCAATATCCACCGAGACTACACAGCTTCCTCTTCTGCCTTTATGATCACTCGATTATATCCCGCCTCTGCTTATCTACTTCCGGAGTGACTGACAACATTTGGCTGCATTTGTGATGCTGCTCACTTTGGTCGGAGCCACTCCCCTTGCAAACATTTCTCAGCGGCCTTATGCGGAACAACCCCCTCCTGTGATATACTCCGCTCATTTGGACAGTATTTTGTCATATAATATAGGCGTGTACATAGCTGTTTTTCACAGTCATTAAACAATCATTCTGCAGACCTAATCGATTCACTTATCTGAGTATCTGTAGATATCTGTTTACAGATCCGTGGTTTGATATATTACGCTGTAGTGCCACCACTATTTCTGTGGGAGCATTGGCTAACGCACATTAGAGATATTTGTTGACTGACCGGTTTGGGTTCCGTGCTGATGGAATGTTGCTTACATTTGGCGGAAGATCGAACGACTACGGCCGTCATTGGGTCTTTTTTCGGAGATGGATATCTTTTTGAACTTTCAATCTCTTACATCAACTAGGGCAGGTTTTTATTTCATTTTGCAAAGTACAGCAACAAGATGACATTTGGCAGATGCAAGCATTTTGTGTTGTCTCTTCAGTACTCATAACAACAACAACCGATGAGAAACAATAACAAATGGTGGATGTGACCAAAAAAAAAGGAAATAAACTTGGGGATCAAGATGGACGAAAACGAGTCGGTCTTTATGTCCACCGAAGCTCGAGACTGACGAATAGCTGTTTATGCACGCACAGCATGGGCTGCATTCGGCTAATCGCTATAGCCTCAGCGAAACGAAGAAATCGCGGATTAGAGTGCCGCAGCAAAATTTTGAACGCGGTATCGAGCTGAATTCGGTGACTAGTAATCAATAGTTGTTTACCTATGGAGGATGCCGGCGGCTTACGCAACGACAAGGCTTCGGTAGGAAAACGCTCTTCGTTTATCCCATGCAGGATATACTTCGGTACGTTTTCCTTCATCAGGGAAGACAATGCTCTATCGGTCCTACCAACGTAACTGGCTTCGTAGTTACAGGTAAATTGGTATACACATTGAAGACTGGGGCCGATTGGCAGAGCTTTCTTAGGATGAGGTACTGGCAACTTGCTACTTCTGTTGATGATGACGACCTGAGCAGCATAGTAGGTCCTATGCGCAGCAGCGATCAGGCGCTTAACGTGCCGATATCACCCTTGAAAGGTAAATCGATATAAACTTTCTTCTTCGCTGCCTCCTGTACCAAGTCCTTTGGTCTTCGTGGTTAGCTATGCTTCTCTATAAACCTTTGAGGGTTAACTGTTTGACATCATTATAACTGTACTTCGCTACAACTCATTAGTTAGACAGTCTGCCGAGTACAGTCGTCTGGCACGACTAAAGAAAGTCTTCACAAGTGTCCGCTCATACAGCATTGATGTAAAGCTTGTGAAATGAAGGTACCGACTGAACCATCTTGCCTTTCGGTAGACGGACCTCCTAATCTGTCCGTTATCCCTGCGACTGATGAGAAGATCCAAGAATGGCAGACATTTTTCTCGTTCTAGCTCGCAAGTGACTAACAAGTTAGTGTTTGCACTGTTGTAGCGCTCAACCAGCCAGGCCATATGCTGCTCAGATGGACAGAAAGCCAAAATGCCATCAACATAGCGTCTGTAGTATGACAGCTGGTCTATCTCTGTGGACATTCTTTTCTCGACCATGAGCATAACGAAACCAGCGAGTAAAGGGCCCAATGGGCTGCCCATTGCCACCCCATCGACTTGGCGGTATGGCGTGTTTTGAAAGTGGGAATCAACCTTGTGCACAGTAGCAGGGAGTCCCTTAGTAATTCGGCCGGAATCGGCATTGCACAGCCAGAGTGTTCAGCTAGTTTGCACACATAATCCAGTCGCAAGTCGAGGGACGTTAGTGAAGAGAGATTCCACATCCAGGGAACACAAAATCTTATCTGACAAGTTGAGCGCATCGAAGTCGTCAGTGCGTTGAAGTGAGTCTATCAGACTGTACCGGTTGTCCAATTGTCACAGTTTAGAAAGATCCTTCACCAGTCAATGAGCTGGTTTATGCCGTGGCGCATTTACCATCGAAAGAATCGACCGGAGCGGCGCACCACTCTTGTATGTTTTCGGTAGTTCATACATCTGTGGAGTAATTGAGCCACTAGGCTTTAAACTGGCATAAGTAGCATCATCTAGTACGCGGTGGAGCAGATGCGTATCGAGGTGCAGGATAACACGCGTCTCGACCTCAGTCACATCTCCCACCTTGAGCCGTTCAAATTTGCTCGCGTCGTTGAGCATAATACCCAGTTTTTGCGTGTACTCGGGCTTGTTCATTACTACCACTCCCACACCCTTATTCGCTTTCATTGCAACCACATCTTTACCACGTAGTTCACGAAGCGCTTGAAGATGCCGACTTGTGAGCGCATATTATTTTATTCATAGGCACTGTTTTGACCTCGTAGATGATATCAGTTAACTTTCTCCTAAACCAGGTCTGCTTTTCAGGGTTGCGGCACTTTAATCCGCGATTTCTTCGTTTCGCTGAGGCTATAGCGATTAGCCAAATGCAGCCTATGCTGTGCATGCATAAACAGTTATTCGTCAGTCTCAAGCTTCCATGGACATAAAGACCGACTCGTTTTCGCCCATCTTGATCCCCAAGTTTATTTCCATTTTTTTTGGTCACATCCACCATTTGTTATTGTTTCTCATCGGTTGTTGTTGGTGTTGGTACTGAAGAGACAACACACAATGTCGTCTTGCTGTACTTTTCAAATTGCTGAAGGGAATTAATTGCTTCCATTTTTTTGCATTTTTCTCTCCCAACTCCATCGGTTTGCACTGTTCGCTGTTGTTGTATCCAGCCAGGGACGGTCGTTCTGTGAGTGACCGTTAACGTAACGTCACGGCCTGAGGAAGTTGCTTAGTTTGGATTCCTGTCGGATCTAACACGGACAAAATCAGCGGCACTCTTATGTTCAATATTTATTACTTGCTCAGCTGTTTTTCGGGCCATTGTGGCATTTGTCTGAACTGTCATCTGTGTCATCTTCTCTCTCCCTTTCCTGTCATCAGAAGTAATTTTTTGTGGTTTGACTATGTTGAATCCACCGCACTTCCGTGCTCATTTGAACTGGATTTCGTTTGCACACCACTCATTCAAAGGCTTGTCATGAAAATGCGATACGTCTTCGGTCACTGCCCTTGTGGACAGGGTGCCTACTTTACAACCTGGAGGTTGCGGGTCCAAGCCTACATAGGGGACCGGTCGGACCTCGCAATACCTTCAGCCCACGTGCGACTGGCGGTTGCTTGGCATCGAAGCCTCAGTACTTCGCACCGGCGTACTGCTAGTGCCTAATTTCCTTATATGTCAACTGCGGCTCCATGAAAAGTGGTATCATCATTCAGCATTGTGTTTCCTAGATTTATCTTAAAGCGTATTTTCTTCCAACAGGTATGAGCCAATTCAAGCCGTTGTTTCTTCAACAAACCGATCACAGTGCTTCCACTCCGTTTGCCAACTTACGCCGAGCTACCAATTCTCAACCGTGCATTCGCATTGGAGGGCGCCTGGATGATTTGAACGATGTTGGTTACGACAGACAGCACCATACGATGTTTGAAATGCTTGGAAATTGGTCATTTGGAGATTATTACAAGGTAGGCGCTATCTCCGAAACTTTGGCTACGCTCGTTGTCGTTTAATTGTAGGTTCATCTCGTTATTCGTTTTGCCGCTGGTTTATCTTTGATCTTTCTTTACACCCCTACGTTTTGTCACTGTTTCTTCGGATGACTTGCTCAGTTCAAAGGCACCTATTATACTTTTGACTCATTTGTGGTACTTGTTTTTTGATTGGATTTCGATACGCAACCTTAGTATAGACCCCTGGTTCTATCGCATACAGACAGGTGTTGCCCTCTCGCAGAATTATACCCAACGAACGCTCTCGTGCTTTCGCTCTTTTCAAGAATAGACAGCAGCTGTATTGGAAATTCTTGAGAATATCTGTAGCTCTGGGTGTGGATGAGAGGGTTGATGTGTTTTTTTCGAGCTGAGTAATTTTATTGCAGACGTTTCGTTGCCAAACTAGGCAACGTCCTCAGTGCGGCTTTAAGGATCTGATTCGTAAGCCACTACCAGATCCAAGTGAATATGGATCGTTTCCTGCTTTCAGTCGATCAAGTGTTCGCGTCTTCTCCCTGTCGATCTGGTACTTATTGCTGGCATCACATACAGAGCATCGTAAACCCCCTCCAGTTCCAGGTACTTGTTGATAGAGCTCGGGCCCGAATGCTAACCTCGATGAACTCACGCGCTCTACGGTTCTTTGCTCTTCCAATTAGCTTGACGTTTCCCAGATCGAACTGAAGGCCCTCGGCATCCATATGTACTGACATTAGTGATTTCTCATCGTGGCGGCGGATGGCCAGACTGCGTTCATGCAGTCTTGTACCCATTTTTCTTCCTATCTGGACCACGTAGTACTTGTCGCAATTTTTGCAGAAAATTTTGTAAATCACACCTGAACTTCCTTTTTTACTCAACTGATTTTTACCCCAAAAATTTTACTCCGAATGGTTTCTGTTGCTTCATGTGCAACGTTGATCCCGTGAATCCTTAAAAGCCCCGCCACCATCTCAGAAATTCCATGCATATAAGGTAGGACGATGGTTTTCCTTTCCGTTGCGTTTGTGGAAGCGAGTTGTGGTTGATTCCTCGACATCAGGCATTGTAGAGTTATACTTTTAAGATACGCATCTCGCGGAACCATGTTAACTAGTTGGTCTTCCTCCGCCTTCCTCAGTTGCAGCGTGCTACAGTGTGGTTGGGTCCGTTTGAAATGTGTCCTAACGCAACTTCGCTTGTATATGGCCGGGTGCTAACTGCAAATTGACGGAGTAATTCCTTGGAAAACTCAAGGGAATAACAGTCGAAAGCTTTATTCTCATCGATTGGCACGTAGCTGGCAAGGTAAACAAGGATGACCCTACTTTAACAAGACGGGGCGGTAATTGCCAACAACAGTATTGTAGTCCCACAAATGATGGAGTTGCTTGATTTCTGTCTCACCACACATCTGACTTTCAATGGCCAAACGTACAAACAGCTAATGGATGCACCATTTCGGTCATCAATCTCTGTGCTGTTAGCCGAGGCAGTAATACAAGCAGTGGAACCAAAGGCACTACCGATGGTGGAGCCCAAACTTGGGGTACGTTGCGTGCACGTTACTTAGTCATCATTAAGCGCTCCGGACCACAAGAAACATATCATCTGATCTTTAATATTTCACCGGCATCCATTTCGCCAAAGAGGAGAACAATGACCAGCTGCCATTCTTTGACGTGCTCGGGATAAGACATGCTTTCAGGGCCTTGGAAATAACAGTCTGTTGAAAAGCGACGCACACTGATCAGATCTTAAACTATAGCAGTAACCACCTGACCATTTACAAGCGAACTTGCTTTAGGACACTTTTCAACCGGGCCCAGGCACACTGTAGCATGTTGTAACTGAGGTAGGCGGAGGAAGACCACCTAGTTAACATGGTTCCGCGGAATTTCTACCCTAAAATATTATTCTATGCTGCCTGATGTCAAATAATCAACCACAACCCGCTTCCACAAACGCAATGGAAAGGAAAACTATCATAACGAGTTTGTACTGTTATCTGACGGCGCGGGTTCGAGCCGGCGTAGTAGACTGGGCGAGCCCCGCAGTATCCTTAGCGCACATGCAACTGGTGGTGATTGTGTGGCAGCGAAGCGTCCGCACGCGGTGTACCGGCGCACTGCTGATGTCTTCTTTTGTAGATTCTGTTGTGTGTTGGGTGAATTGTTACGCGCGATCTCCGCGTGAACCGCGACTTAATTTGCAGCGTATGTCGGCCAGTTCTGGGTTCTGAAACTTGAATGTCAATTGTTACCAGAGTTATAGTCATCACTTCCTTAAAATTGTAAATATGCACGAAACCTGTCGTGAAGCACAGTGTTGTGAGCGCGCGTATCTATCGCACTTGTTTATGTGCTTCTTCTGTTCAAGGTTACAGTCACACACCTACGAAAGCTGAGAAACTCCCATCCCCTTGAAATTGTGCCATTTTACTCTTTCGACACTTTGTTACCTCATCTACTGCTTCTGCTTATCAACACTTGCTAGTTTGGAACTCAGAACAAACTAATTTACCGATATTCATAGGGACGTGTCTAGCTATATTGAATGCCTTCAGAAGCAGACTGCTCTGCTAGGGTGAATCAAGGGGCAGTGACTTTATGTAGTGGTAAGCCACTTCTGCCACGTTACACTGTTGTTAAACGGACAAGTGGCTTTTTTGGGGGGGGGGGGGCGAAAACTTGCCAAGCGAAAACCCACCACGTCTTGGAACTATTCGCTGAAACGGGTTAATCCCGAACCACCAAATTGACACCACGAGGATGTTCGACAAACATCTGGGTGGCTCTTCACATTCATCTTCCTTGAACTGGAAACCATTTTTGGTTCGGTTTATTGTACCTATCTGTTCCGGTCCCTTTTGTCTACCACAAAATGGCAGGACGCTGATGCGTTTACTTTGCTTTCACATACCTCTTATCGGTTTAACCCGTGTTCATTTTTCCTCTTTGCCCCATAATGCCGATCTCTGAATTGACCGAGGCAATAATTCGAGACGCTTTGTGTGCTGATTCACCTCTAACATCTCTCTTGCCTCTGCATTCGATATTTTGTATCCCAGTTGCTCGCCTTATCAAATCGTGGATCATATATTCCACACTTTCGCTTAGCTCTTAGTTGCTTATCCCCGTTGTTCTCTGGCGCTACGCTGATTCGACGTATTCGAGTCGCCTATCCCTCTGTTCTCGGATCGTAATTGTCTGACTGGACTGATCTGTCCTGCGCAGATTTAGCGAACTCTCCCTTTATTATGACACAGTGTATGTTGAACCAACCTGGCCGGCGTCGTCGCTTTCTTGACCTCTGGTCAAGTATTTCAAGCCTCTGGCAGCCGCTTCGAGCTTACGTTGGTGCGGTGATCTTGCAGTGTCCGCAGGTCACATGCAACTGATGGTGGTCATGTGGCAGCGAAGCGTCGGTACAGTCTCCTGGCCTACTGCGAATTCCTTTTTTCCTTACCATTCCCATGACAGCTAGCGCTAAAACGTCTGAATATGCTACACTTCATTGACGGGATCATAGTAATTCAAACTATAGGCAGCTTGGGTTAGTCGTTCAATTGTTGTATGAACGTATGATCGAGTCGGACAATTTGATTGCAGAACTTTTATCGCCAATCGTGCTGACCTCATCAATAAAGACGAGCTGATGGGTTAGTTGCAGGTGTTGATGGCTGGGAGATACAGGAAAGTACCGCTGGCAGCTGTTGCTAACGTATCACCTACCTTCTACGTTTCTTGACTAGCTCCATACACGGTCATGATCATCGCCCTTGTTTTCCTCGGCTGAGACATCGGCGCACTGCAGTACTGTTTCATGTGCCTAACATCCATGGTGGTGCTCACTAGCGTGTATTTCTTATTCACTAGAAAGAAGCCTGTCAATACATGTGGACCTTCTTGACCAAAGTTCTTGGGTTGCCACCAAACGCTCTGTATGTGACGTACTTCGGTGGTTGTCCCCAGCACGGCTTGCCTCCAGATGACGAGACAAGGGACATTTGGCTCGATTTGGGGTGAGTTTGGCGCGCGATTTTCACCTGGTCACTCTAATTATTGTTTGCCAGTTATATCGCCTTCGGTGTCTTCCGGATGCATGCTTTTGTGACGTGGGATCTCAAGTTCATGAAACGAAAAAAAGAATACCTTGGGCTTTTTAGTTAATTTTATAGATAGAACATAATCTGCTGCTGCATCCACTGTGGAGCATTGAGATCTATGGGCGAACTGATAGATATCATCAGGAGAGTGGCTTTAGAAATCCGCAATATCAGCAGTTTTTCAAATGCCTTCAGCAACCTAAAATTGCACGCAATCAGGCAATACTTGTAAGCTCTATTTTAGGCAATGGTGTTATCACAGGAAGATCTCCAGACTTCAGGGATATCACATCCATAGTGAGACATTTGTTAGAGATCTCTGTTCAAGCTAGTGTGAATCAGTACACTCCTTCAAAACTACTCTGGTGTGGTGGTGGTATCCGAACCATTAGATTTGTTTGACTTTAGTCCTTTGAGTTTCTTGTGCAGATCGCCTTGGTCAGTGACGCAGTTGGACTTGAACTGCTGAGGGAGAGCAAGGGAGATACGCTTGAGAACGCGGATCCAAACTCAGCATTCAGTTCCCCCTACCTTCATCACGCCATTGTAGCTGCGGGCGCTCTTATCACAAAGCTGCCTCAAGTCTCCACAGATCACAGCAATTAGGGCTGCAAAAAGCCGTTCCGATGTTAAACTGTTTGGCCCGATCTCTTAGCTTTACTTACCGACGTTATACTTTTGATGCGAATAGCCATCTTGCACTTGTAAGCCCGTTTGTTCTTCCCTCGAAGTTGCTTTAGTAGCTGTGATGCTATTAATCTTCTAGACCGTAAGTATATCGTTTCCACAGAATCATACGAGGCAATACATGCAATGCATGCATTATGTATGATGGTTGAATTGAATCGTCCAGTCATCATCATTGAAAACTGAAGAATCCGTTACGCAAAGCATCTACTGGGACTTTGGGATACTTTAGCGGAACAGCTCCCCGGTTTGATGGTCTTGAAAGGATGTCTATCCAATGTGATAAAATTAGCTCTTTTGCATATGACAGCACAATTTGAAACCGCGGTAGTCTGAGCTGCTCAGAGGATCCAGTGTATGTGTGGCAAACAGTGTAAACAGCGTTCAGCTACGCACGTTGTCTGGTTGGAAAATCACTAAATTCACCGAGCCCAGTATCGTCAGGGACTTTGTTTATCTCTTTGAATAAAGTCACCAACGATAATTCATGTAGAACATCATGGTTTCAGCAGTCACATCGGAAAGAATCGGTCCTCAGAAAGCTTCCACTCCGACGCAGAGGTATCAAGAGCTATGTAAACCTTTCCGGCGAAAACTGATGGCAATGTACTTAGGAACTTTGGTTTGCATTCGACTTAATGACAATTTATAGACGTCGTGGAGTATGTGAATAGTACAGTTGCTAGATTGCACCAACGTTGATGCGACCGTCACCGCCACGAAACTGGGGCTTTCCAGTTTAATAACTCCATCTTCCACAACAGTATGGAACCAACTTTATTGTAACAGAATGACCTCTTGCAAAAGTAACTAAATAATCTTTTATCTCTTGACGAGACGAGAGACTGTTCCCACATAGGGGAAAGATCAGCAGGTACACTGTTCTTTTTACCAGTGATGTCATACGAGAGAGGACTGCAGGACA